GTTGCAGATGTTCCCAGCAGACGTCCAGAGTGAGGCAGTAAATCCAGAAACATGATCAGCACACTTGGCCTCTCTGCTTCAGCCCTCCTCCTCTTTTGTCTCTCCAGCAGTAGAGAGAAGCCAGTTTACTGCACTGCCTCTGTGTATCAGTGGAAAGCTCTCTCCTACACAACACAGACACAAAGGCTGCACTGCTGCCACCACTAAGGCTGCTACCACAGGACCGTGACTCTGTGAGGCATTTACCAATACTGAGGAGAAAGAGCAGCGTCCTCATTGCTGCATAGAGATATTTTGTAGGCAGAAGAGTATTCTATACTGTTAATATGAATGGCTTTTTCACTGTTGTTTCCTACTGCCTTCCTCTCCTTACTCTCTCAGGTACTCCTCACAGGGGATGATTGGTTGTTGGCCTCATCTCCATAGTTAAGGGAGGTTGGAAAAGCAGGAGCTCTCTCTCCCAGACTAAGCAGCCAGCTGATCTAACTTTTAGTGGATTCAGGTTCTTGTAGATGAAAATTCCTTCTATGAAACAAAAAAGATCTATGGCGAAAGCGTTTGGAAAAATATGCAACACAGATGCTACTGGTGTGAGCTGGAAGTGTGAGGTGCAGTGCCAGCATGAGAACAGCACACAGAACTTCAACCGACAGAAACACTCCAATTCTCACTCCTGCCGCGACCACGTACTCCACAGAGCACAACAAAAAAAACAGGAAACACTCAACAACATAACTAAACAATAGTAGATTATGATATGGAGGTTTATTAGCTGAGTTATGGTAATAGTAAAAAAAAAAGGAAAACGCGAAAAGAGAATATGGTAGCGTACGTCCAAAGAACAAATAGAAAAGTATAAAAAAATCACTATGAAAACATAATGTGACCATTAATTTACTCCAAACGAAATGGAGCTAAAATCAAGATCATCCCTGATGTGAGTGCAGTGAATCGCAGCATGAAACAAGTTCCAAGTAAGGGCAAGCGATATCCGGCAGTGACAGTATGGTGCAAGGGGAAAACTGAATGGTGGCCAGCGCGAACTCCAGTGTTTGGGTTTAGTCCCGTACTGGGCTACTGTAGACATACGCGATGGGCAGTTCCTTAACATTATGACTTCATGGAAAGGTCGACCTGAAGAGAGATCTGTGGAGTAAAAACTATCGCTCGAACGTTCTAACGGTAATAAAAACACAAACCGCTACTTCTTATATTTCATCGTGGATCCGGTGATTATACATCTACATGAAAGTTTACCCCCATACCTGTAAATGGGAAACGTAGAGCCTTGCAGTACTCTCAACATTTCTGACAAGCTAGAGCCCCTGAGAATGGTGGTACACACTGGACCATCCCTAAATATCATGAATCTAATACGCAGCATCTTTCCTGTCACAGAAATTGAGCACAGAGATTTCCTGGAGATACTCTGACGTAGGTTGTAATATTTTTAAATGTTTTCTTAAGCCCCTCGTAAAACATCGGAGGAAGGCCGGTGTGCCCTCCTGTGAAGACGTTCGGACACAACCGCGCAGGTTAGGAACTGCAGCTGCCTCCGTAGCAGCACAGCAAACGATAGTGATAGTCCAGCTATCTTAAGAAGCTTGTAATAGGTCCTATCGTTGGGCTGTGGACAAAACGCAAGACGAATCCCTTGGTTTTGTGTGTGGTTTAGGAAATCATAAGCCGATTGTTGTGTGTGTGAGTTTTCGCGCTCTTCGCGCGCCCCGCGGCGCACCGCAATGGCTGACCATGGTCCATCACAACTCAATCATACTTGATAGGAGAATAGCCATGAGGTTATTGAAGCATGCATTTGAGATAATGAAGACATAATTCTTGTTAGGTAGCAGCCCCGCTGCTCTTACGAGCTCTCCCCTCACAGGATTGACGCGCCGACGGGGGTGATTCCGAGACTTATTTGGCGCGGTGGCACAAGCCGGCATTGACTTATGTAGGTATAGCAGATGAAGTATGGTGTCTCAGCTTGTCATTCCGATTTCATGCAATACCAACACTGTTTATGGACGCGAGTATGCAGAAATATTCAAATAGACCTATGTGCTATAGCCACATGCGACGAAATTGCATGGGGATAGCATAAAGTGGGCATGTCTACTCAAGGGAAACTTGTGGGTACCCATAGAACCCATTTTCATTTGCTATCTTTGAGGTCAGAGGTCAAGGGCCACTTGAAAATCACTATGCAGTTGTTTCCGTCGACAAAATTTAGCCTAACTTTGGAGCCTATTTAGCCCCGACGAATGCTGCATGGCATTGTACCAATCGATGTGGTAGGTCTTCTGAGTTTCATGTGATACTAGTATCTTTTCAGACTCTTTCTTTAATACAGAGCCTAGTACAGCCTCTGAAAGTGGGGTCAGGTAAGGATAATTGGATGGCACTTCGGGACCAGCAATCATATCTTCAGCCCAGCCCCTCCATTCTGCATATGCCCCAGCTCTGAAAGCCACACTGCCTTTGAGAATGGTATCCACTTTGGCAGGGACCACAGTTTAGACCATCCACCATCTAGCTCAGCGGTGCTCCGCTAACAAAAAGATTCAATATGGCCTCTTTCAATTGGTCACTTATGATGAACTATCAGAAACCCTAACAAGAGGGTGGTGCGAGGACAGCGGAGACATAGATTCATTGCGACTTATTTCCTCCCCTCCAGGACATTGCAAAGGCCCTTCTGGAAGGCGATTCCGCAGCTGCGGAGGAGAACAGCCAGACTCAAACAACAGCTTCTTTCCATATGCCATAAAGACTGCCTGAAACACGTATAGACCAGTTCCCCCTTCACTTCCCCCTCTCACCCACCAAACCCTACTTCAGGACATTATATTTATCTTTGTTAATATCCTTTATATTGCGTTATTTTTATCTGTCTTTTATACAAAAGATATATTATCGCATTTTTTTATCTTGTATTATATACAAAATTTATTTTACATAGGCAACTAAAATTGTGCAAGTATATTTATCTATGGGTTTTTTTTATATAGAAGTTTTATATCTGCATATCTATTTTTTTTGACTGTACATACTGCCTCTCCTCTATTCCTGTGTGCTATGTGCCATTGTAACGTAATTTCATTTTGATGCAAATCCAAATGACAAATAAAGTCTGTAATTCTAAGTCTAAGTAAAACTGTCAGACTTAAATTCTCATTCCTCAACACCTGAAGAATCTGTTGTTTGGGAAATAAAGCTGTCCGTTTGAGCCTTTTTCTGGCACCTTGCAGAGCACAAACAGTCAATTTTCCAGAGAACTTGTCTGCTCTGCCACTATTTTGCACTGACCCAGCAAAACACTATGGGACCGATCTTTTATAGATCACTGAGCTTACAGCTGAGCTCATGCCAGCAATTTAAACAGTCCACAAACTAACATTGAATTTGCTTGCTAGTTAAAGGGAAATAGAAGACGGGGGAAAATGGCATTCATGTTAATTCCTTTACTTTTGACTTATCTGAGCCTGAAGGGACGCTTTTCTGGAACACTGAAGCCTATCATTCCAGTAAGTACAATCATGTTTGCTACATTAATACCAGATAAGAGAAAAATCATGTGTTGTTTTTCTTCCTTGGAGTACTTGAGCATACGGTCTAACGCAGAAAGTGTTTTTTTCCCACAGCAACAGAAAACTGGTTAAAAATCATGAACAAATGTGATAACATCTCTCCTTTTGTTAGTGTTTTGAGAGGAGAAGTGTAAAACTAATGCGGTGTGAGAGTTTTCTCAGTTTCACACCTCTAAAGCTACTGCTGATACTCAAATGTGTCAATGGGAAACACCAGCAGGCCCGGGGAAGCTGTTAAAGGCTGGAACAAGGGGAACACTTGCTTATGTGGGAATGAAATGGAAGAAGAGAGGGGGTCGGGAAATGACAAGAGGGACAGGTTGGGGTATAGGAAAGTAAACAGGTAATGTAGGAGGGGTGGAAAGAGAGAGGAATTACCCACTCTGAGGAAAAGTGGAGGAATCGTATTTGAAATCTTCCTACATGACAGCTTCCTCCACAGAATGTCAAAATGTAACCTTTGTGGCAGTCAGGAGAGGAACCTCAGCAGTCTTAACAGACAGTAATGCTTTGGTAAGGACCTCTGATAGAAATGACATGTAGCAAACTGTCTTCATGTGTGTGAAACACAGAAACTCCCCAGACAGGAAGCTCCCTTCATAATGGTTGCATAACGGCCCCGAGACAGATAAGACAAGACATGATGCAGTGTTCAGACTAGGACCTCTGTGTTACCTGACTGATGGCAGCCAACCGTGGTCAAAGGCACAGGGAGAAGATGGAAATAAGCTGTGAACATTCTAAATCAGGCTGATTGATTAACATGATTATTAATCATATAAAAAATATATATCTCATGCATACAAATACACCTACAACAAGACCCACTCTTTGCTGTTCTAGGTTCTATTCATTCTTGTTAACAGTTTTCAGCTGTCTCCTAGAAATAGTTTATTTAATATTTTACTTTTCCTTTTACTAGTTGCTGTCTGCTCTGGATTATGTTTCTAGTCAGAAAATACTCTAACTTTTGACTCTAACTTGAAGTCCCCCTCCAAGTCAGAAATCAGTTTTTCTTCTTGTTCCTACAGTGTGAATGCTGTATGTGCAAGCGGTAACCAATCGAAACAGAGAAAGATAGAAAGATGCTTTGGTTTGGTGTCTTGAAGATAGTTGATTATTGAGTCTCATTTCCAGCTTCGGTATTTAAAAATTTGGTAAAGAGACTCAACTATCTTCCTTGGCCTCTGATTGGTTGTTTTTGTTCAGGCCGGTGGATTCTTACAAATGCCATTAGGAGCACTAGGAGGAGCCAGAAGAACCTGATTTTTTCACAGAGTAATCTTTCTCATTTACTACTGTCAGGATATAGTACAGGTTTAATCAAATACGACAAAAAGTTATTTTTATAAAAAGTTACCTACTGCAGCTTTAATATGGAAATAACATATCAGACATTAAGTAAAAACAGCCCGTTTTCTACTTCCATGCTGCAACCCATCTACTGGAAGACTATTCTTTATTTTTTTAGTTCTACCCTTTCACTTCCCCTTTCCTCCATCTCTTAATTTCTCTATCTGTCTCTTGGCGTCGATCTCTCTTTGTTTTCTTGCCTCTCTCTCATGCAGAGACACAGAGTGCAGCAAAAAAGTCAATGCTTTTAAAGGTCCCGAGTCCAACGCCACCAACACAGCCCCGGCTCCAGCTGCCTTGTGGGAAGGAATAATCTAGCCATCAATACCTCCTCCCAGATAATGTCAGCCCTTCCAGACCAATGCACAATTAACCCTCCTCCATCCACACGCAAAAACACACTGTGTACTCTGTCAGTGAGAACACTGGAGAGGGGATTTATGAAATAATCTTGCAGGGGTAGACAGAGAAAACTCAACAAGAAAGCCAATCAGACCTCATCTTCATGCATGCTGAAACTCATCTCCCACCTGCCTTTTTGAACACGTTTGAGACCAGTTTCATCTGCATCACGTCTAGTTAATTAGCAGTTTGTGTGATCAGGAATCCACCAGGGGATTCTTGGATGTCGACTGAGCTTGTGGGAGACACTTGTAGGCTCCACCTGAACTGATACAATCTGTTCAGGGCTCAGTGATAGGAAAATCCCGGCCTAGGATTGAACACACACACAAACACGCACACCACACACACACACACACACATCCACGACACACACACACACAGAGACCTTATATATATATATAACTATCTATATATATACATATCTATGACTGTAGGGAGGAAGATGAAAGGTGAAGCTGAAGGTTTAAATGATTAATAATGAAAACAGTCTCTGTTCCAACGTCCCTCTCTAAGCTGCTCAGATATGTCTATCTGACAGTTTATTGCACCTCCTATACAATTACATACACAGTACAGCCTTTACATGGAGTTTGCTCCAGCTTGTGCACAGATGGATGAGTGCGTTGAGTGGGGATACATTACTGGAATGCATGTGCAGATCATGCATAATGCAGGCTAATCTGGAAGGCAGATATGGCAACCAAAATAGAAGCTGTGATGTTTGATGCAACGCTGCTGAAGGCATTTCATTATCATAATTCCATACAATTACACATTATCTCGACAAGCCAGATGAGAGAGAACAGGCAGTGTCACAATGATGGCTTTTTTTGGGGGGAGACCCAGGGTCTGCCAGGAGGGCTTCAAAACCTCTTAGTGTTGGCAAAATGTTTGGTGACACAGTGGAATAGTGAGTGATGACTAAGATGTTATTTTTTCACTTTGTCACCAAACTCTCAAGGGATGAACCTGAACGGTCACATGAGATTCCAGATTCATTTTGGAGGACTTGTTTTTTCTTTTGCCTCTCCATCAACTGCAAGATCACATTTCGGCTC